CAGTGAGATGTTATTTTTACTGACTAAAAAGTACCTTGGTGAAAAAAATAGGTAGGCCTACTCTAATACTTGGATTAACCTTTATAACTTGTAATCTTTTTTTGCCTCATTATACTCTTTCATAATCTTGGAAAGATCTCCAGCTGACTGTTTGTGTTACTATTTGCATGTGTTGCTTTACTAAAGCTAGGCTATTCATTGCAAAAGGATTTTTGGATTTTGGATTCTCCTTACATCCTGACATTTACCTTTACATTTACATTTACTCATTTGGCAGACGCTTTTATCCAAAGCGACTTACATTTGAGGAACAACATACAAGCATATCAAAGCTTCCTATAGCATCAAATACAGATCAACTGACAATAAATACTAGTAAGAGCAGCAATAAGTACTAGTAAGAGCTCATAGTACATATCACATCAATGGGGTAAATAAAAAGTTAACAATTGAGTTAACAAAAAGTGCAATCAAACCAAAAAAGTGCAATCAATACAAGATCATTGTAGGGGATAGAAGAAGAAGAGCACAGGACGTGCATGTTAGAGGTTAGGACAGCAATCAATAAATCAAAGGCTCTGACGCAAAAATGAAACAATGTGTTTTGGGGCAGTGGATTTGGAGGGATGCAGAGTCTCTGTTATTCGGTCCCACTCCCTGCAGAGCGATACATTACGAGTATCATTCAAAACACATTTTGAAATGTCTGCCTGAAAAGCAACCCAGCAGACCACTGTAATCATCCATATCAGCCACGATTCAGTACTTCAATGTGTCATAAATCACAGTTAACAGTTTTTATTACTTACCACTGGCTACACTCTGGTGGAAAACTTGCAGGCTCTTTTAGGTTGGCTTAAACATATGGTCCAGATTTCTTTATGTTTCCAAACATCAGGTTGGAGTGTGCAAACAACTCCAAGATGAATCTAACACTATGTACAACATTTTTACAATATGTAAACACACACAGCATAACTACAGTAGGTACGGAAAGTATTCAGACCCCTTTAAATTTTTCACTCTTTGTTTCATTGCAGCCATTTTCCAAAAATCAAAAAAGTTCATTTTATTTCTCAGTAATGTACACTCAGCACCCCATCTTGACAGAAAAAAACAGAAATGTAGAAATTTTTGCAAATTTATTAAAAAAGAAAAACCGAAATATCACATGGTCATAAGTATTCAGACCCTTTGCCGTGACACTCATATTTAACTCAGGTGCTGTCTATTTCTTCTGATCATCCTTGAGATGGTTCTACACCTTCATTTGAGTCCAGCTGTGTTTGATTATACTGATTGGACTTGATTAGGAAAGCCACACACCTGTCTATATAAGACCTTACAGCTCACAGTGCATGTCAGAGCAAATGAGAATCATGAGGTCAAAGGAACTGCCTGAAGAGCTCAGAGACAGAATTGTGGCAAGGCACTGGCCAAGGTTACAAAAAATTTCTGCTGCACTTAAGGTTCCTAAGAGCACAGTGGCCTCCATAATCCTCAAATGGAAGACATTTGGGACGACCAGAACCCTTCCTAGAGCTGGCCGTCCGGCCAAACTGAGCTATCGGGGGAGAAGAGCCTTGGTGAGAGAGGTAAAGAAGAACCCAAAGGTCACTGTGGCTGAGCTCCAGAGATGCAGTCGGGAGATGGGAGAAAGTTGTAGTAAGTCAACCATCACTGCAGCAATCCACCAGTCGGGGCTTTATGGCAGAGTGGCCCGACGGAAGCCTCTCCTCAGTGCAAGACACATGAAAGCCCGCATGGAGTTTGCTAAAAAACACCTGAAGGACTCCAAGATGGTGATAAATAAGATCCTCTGGTCTGATGAGACCAAGATGGAACTTTTTGGCCTTAATTCTAAGCGGTATGTGTGGAGAAAACCAGGCACTGCTCATCACCTGTCCAATACAGTCTCAACAGTGAAGCATGGTGGTGGCAGCATCATGCTGTGGGGGTGTTTTTCAGCTGCAGGGACAGGACGACTGGTTGCAATCGAGGGAAAGATGAATGCGGCCAAGTACAGGGATATCCGGGATGAAAACCTTTTCCAGAGTGCTCTGGACCTCAGACTGGGCCGAAGGTTTACCTTCCAACAAGACAATGACCCTAAGCACACCGCTAAAATAACGAAGGAGTGGCTTCACAACAACTCCGTGGCTGTTCTTGAATGGCCCAGCCAGAGCCCTGACTTAAACCCAATTGAGCATCTCTGGAGAGACCTGAAAATGGCTGTCCACCAACGTTTACCATCCAACCTGACAGAACTGGAGAGGATCTGCAAGGAGGAATGGCAGAGGATACCCAAATCCAGATGTGAAAAACTTGTTGCATCTTTCCCAAAACGACTCATGGCTGTATTAGATCAAAAGGGTGCTTCTACTAAATACTGAGCAAAGGGTCTGAATACTTATGACCATGTGATATTTCAGTTTGTCTTTTTTAATAAATTTGCAAAAATTTCTACATTTCTGTTTTTTTCTGTCAAGATGGGGTGTGTACATTACTGAGAAATAAAATGAACTTTTTTGATTTTTGGAAAATGGCTGCAATGAAACAAAGAGTGAAAAATTTAAAGGGGTCTGAATACTTTCCGTACCTACTGTATTTCTCATGCACACAGCAATAAAAAAAATAGCTCAGATGCTGGTTATGTTCTCACCAAAAGACCATAAGATACTTTAATGCATCTTCACATCTTAATGACATTTATCTTTGTGTACATTGTTAACAAAAACATTTCTGCAAAATTATTACAAATATTATGATAGAAGATGAATCAAATATAAGACAGAACCTATCAGACCTATCAGAAACAGTTATCAGGTATGTGAGCAACATGATATTATGTTTAGACTTGATGTTTTGTAGTTGGCATCTGTTTTATACACCAAATCCTGACTGTTTTGCACAATAAGCCGAGTATAACACAATGCATTAAGAATGGATTGAGGTAAATGCTACATGTTTTATACCCCAACTCAAACAGAATTTACACTATGCGAAACATCCTCATGATACTGTGTCTGGAAATGTTTGTGTGGCCAGTCAGTTGTTATTGTCTTTAAATTGTTGGTAACTTGCAAAAATTCGCTGTATGGCACAAAATGTCTATTCATTTAATGAACCAGACCACAAACAATAAACTGTAAGCCATGGTAGGGGCCCTGAACATGCCGGTGCATGGTCAGGATGTCTGCACAGAAATATTTCCCAGAGTATACTGTGGGAATAAGGCCTTACTCTCAAGCTATATTATTTGTCCCCATTGAAGAAGGTTTATACTGAGGCTCCAGGGAAGGCTTATTGAGGGCAGACATTCCAGGATCATAGGTGGAATTAGGTTTTCAAAGGGTCCAGTTTACAAGTATCATGATTTGTTTGACAAGAGAAAGTTCTGTGACATGAAATTTATTCTCTGATTTACAACAAAATAACTAGTTATTTAAATGACACATTATTAAACCAATTTATAAAGACAACAAAAAAGTTAGTTACAGTTGCAATTCTTTTTAGAATATCTAGCTATCTCAAGTTAAATTATCTTGTGACCTTGAGATAACAATGTTGTTTTTCATGGTGCTGAAAAAACGTTATCTCAAGATAAAAAGATAATTAACTTGTGGTCTTGCAACAACAGGAAGATCGCCATAAACACGACTGCTCTCGGATCCTATTATATAATTTAAGCCAGTTTCTGGCATTGCTTTTTGTATTCTTCACCTGTAGCAAGGTAAAAAAACAAAACAGCTGATATGCAGGTTCTGTTGCTCATTTTAATTTTGTCATACAATTTGACAGTATGGATTTCAAAATGTATTATAAACTGTACACTGGACTGGCCCACTTAGAGATTAGATATGGAAGAACACCACAGGTAGCCTTGAAAATTGACTTCTTATTCTCATGCTTATGCAGCTTATGACTGGATATGGGGGCAGTTCATAGCTCATGAAAATAGGATAGGCCTGCAGTGTTGACAATCATAAATGCAACTTGTTTATGTTTTATTTATTGATTACAAACCATTATGTGATGTGTTACTTATTTTTCCTTTAACTGTACAGTGACTTATTTTGTTTTATTTGACACTAACTTTTAAACAACTTGTCTGTGATGTACATTATTGCACTTTGTTACCTGTATTGAAAAGTGCTATACAAATAAAGCTATTATTATAAGAATGTAATAAGTCACTGGTAACGAGAAAAGAGGTCCTAGCATTAGACATTAAATTACAAGTTGAAGGAAGGAATTTGAATATATCATGCTGCCTACCAATAGTAATACCAGCCGGTAACTCTCAGGAAAGTAACTATTAACAAAATATAAATACTGATATGGTTAATTCTGAGCAATTATAATTTTACAGCATAGTTTCTGACAAGATGTTTTGTCATACGGTTAAAACAATCTCCAATTCCATATTTATTCCCGTCATCCTATTATATTTGTTGATGTATTGAGATATAGAAATGTAAGACTTATAACTTAAAGTAATAGTGTGAAAGGGTATTTTTGGATCACAATTATGGCTGAATATTGGTAGGGGCATTTCACTACCTTCCCCACTAAATTCTACCGCCTTGGGTCTCTCTCTCTCTCTCTCTCTCTCTCTCTCTCTCTCTCGTAGCCACTGATAGTGTTTAATGAAGTTTTACTTTTTCCGATGATTATTACTTTTTATGTAACATAGACACTCTTCAATGTTTTGTAAACTTCTAATTTCTTCCTGTGTGACCTGTTGTGGAAATTAAATGCAAGAGGAAACAATTTTCTGCCTTTACATGACCCACTATACACTACATTTTTGCTTGGACCATAAAGATGGAGCCACACAATGGCACTAGAGGGTCACAATGGAAATACATTTTTCATGTCCACTTTTTCCAGCTGCACCATGCAAAAAAAGCAACAATAGCCAGCTACAATTCTGTTTGCAGTACTTTTATTAAACAAGTCGCAATCAATGATTTTACTAAAGAAGTGGTGATGCATACTTGGCAACATATTGGCCAAATTATTATAAATATAGAAAAAAACTGTAATCCCATTATAATCCTCAGGGCACACTGGAAAGCATGTGCCAAAGTGAGTGTGTCTGCCTGCTAACAAACTCCAATTTCATGGAAATGCTCTCAGTTTACGATAATCACATGGAGCACAAACCAGTGGAACTGGTATGGAACAAATATATGGCTACTTACTGTTTTCATTGTCCCTAGACTGCATAATTTGGTAAACAGTTTGGTTTGGTGAGACACAATGCTGCACAACAAAAAAGAGAGGCAAAACTAAAGTGTGTCTCCTGTATGAGATGTTAACTGTAGTGTCCTTGTGAGAGCAGAGCTATTTCTGCTATTGGTGGAAAATTCTACAAGGTGCAAACACAATAACAGGATAAATAAGTAAATATTTTTTGCTGAGCTCCAGTAAACTGTAAAGGGGGAGAAACTGGTTATTGGTCAGTGGAAGTGCACATGTGGCCCCAGAAGCAAGGAACACAATTGCTCAACTATGGTAGAGCACTGCATGTTATTCTAAAATTTTAACTCTATTACTCTATGAGTAGCTTAGCTTCATTGAATTCGACACGCTTGAACTACAGTCTGTTCAGGCCTTAGGCAACATGGTGCTTTCAATGTTTTTCTTCACCCCAAAGATTCACAGAATAAAAGGAATATGAGGCAGTTTTGATGGGGGAGTTGCTCCACATCAAATACTTTACTGAAAGGATAAAGTTTTTCTGTATTTTTCTTATTCTGAATAAATCCCATTACAAAACCTAAATCGACACTGCGTATGTCTCAATACTTCTTCCTGTCTGTGGCATTCAAGCCACAAGCCCATGATTTCTAATCAAGATCTGTAAAAAGGAGTCCCAAATATATTGTTTTTAAGTACTTTTATGAAACAGCTGGACACTGCAGTTTGACAAGCGTTTCTCAAACAGGAGTAATGTTAGGGATGTAATGTTAATTGTTAGGGACTGTTTTGTGTTTTCTGCAGATTAATATACATTTGGTCCTCCTATTCAGTGCTTACTTTGTGCTGGAGCAAGCCGGAGCACCACTCCGGTACCTCTGAGTTTAAGCCTTCTGCACTGCACTAGTCTTATACACACATAAAATCCAATATTTCATACAGCCTAACAGGGTAAGTCTAATGGATTTCCTTATTTACTATTTGATTTGGTAGCTAATAATGGTTTCTGTTCGCCCTTTAATAAAATTTGCAGGTACACCATGCATTTTAAATAATTATTTGATCATAAATTATTAATTATTTTCAGCGGGTGGCACATTTCACGTGCTCCGGTACATATTAATTTACAAATTAAGCACTGCTCCTATATCACAAGATCAGGTGTTATCAACACAGGCAATACTTGTTAGTGGAATTAATTCATTGCTGGTTCTGGTCTTTTTCATGGGATTTGTTGACAATGAGAAAAATATAGAATAAGGTCAAACTTACTCTTCGCTCCTAGGTTCAACAATGGATGATTCATTATAAAATTCACTCCAGCTTAAGCCGTCATAAAGTTTGTACAGAGTCAATGTTAGCCAATGGCGTTGAAATAAAAGCACAATGGATATAACTGATCAGTTGCAAAGAGCACAAACAATCTTACTTAAAACACGTGAAATGAGCAAAATATGCAAACCGTCAGGGTGTGAATGCTTTCCAGAGTGACTTTAAATATTCTCATATTCCAAAGCCCAGTGATATGCCCCATAACACAGGAAGTCAAAAGCTTTCTCCATTTTTGTTGGCATGTTTTGATATTTTTAAAAGCAAGATATCATAATATTATGCCTTGCTCCTACTTTCTGTGACTCCTCATGGCACTTTTTGCTTTCCAACATTTTTGTAGAAATGTCTTTGTTGTCCCTCATATCATATACTGATACAAGCTGATCCCATTGTTGAAATGGATAGTCAAGTGTAGTCCACAACACTCTGTTACCAGGTGTGAATACAAAGGGTTTTTCTGATCAAGCTTGACAGAAGCAAGGTCATTGGCTATTATGTTATGGTGAAAGTAATCCTTATGCTGCTATTAAGGGGGAATAAAAAGGGGATAGCCTCCAGGGATCTGTATCGAATTTGCTGAAGAGTTCTTGAAACCACTCGGCCTGATGGAACTTGCTCCAAGAGTTACGATGCTGAGGAATGTCGGCAGTGTCAAACTCCAAAGCTCTTTCTCCTTGAATGTGAGCGTACCTGTGGAGGCAAGAGTGCCAAACGGAGAGTGAAGGGGCTGAAGAGGAGGGAAGGGTCCATGCCCCCGAAGAGAAGAACAGAACACGGAGACGGGTCAAACGGTCATCCAGGACCAGGGACTCTGTGGAGACTCCGGATTGGCACTGTCTGCAGGAGGCTTTGAAGAGAACATATTACATTAAATCTGTAATATTAAAGGGCTAATCCAGTTATTGAATAGTGCATGTCCATAAACATGGGGGAATCACAAGGGACAGATTCATAAAAGACTGGTCAAAATTAAAGCGGCAGCCGATATATCCTGACTTTCTTGTCCCTAGTATGTGTCAAGCATCGAAAACACTTAGTCCTATATTTCCCATAATGCAACATGTGTTGTAAATGCTCCTAATTAGACCCTTCCTGCCTGATAAATACCCATGAATTTCCAAACTCCACAGGCAGAGATTTTAACACAGGTTTTCAACTGCTATGGTACTTCAGTAACATTTTCCTTTTACTTCAGATCTACGTATTAACTGGAAGAAGAAAGAATGCTGAGTGGGGGTCCTAGCACAACTTCATCTACTTGTAAAGTGCATGTCTTGAAGTATCAAAGAACACTTGGGATATTGGAAACAACATTATTGTTAAAGAAATGCATCCAAATATATACGGGAACAAAAGACACCTAACAGATTTATGGTTTGCCCTGGCTCTCTTCACCCCCATGGCTCTGTCTGATAGGTTTAATGCGTCTTTTTCTGAACAAATGTCCAATTTTATAATTACTTGATATGATATATCTTAGGCAAAAGGAGAATAATTTGGCCACATTTGGAAATTTGTCTATTCCTCTGAGTACAAGAGAGATATGTCTTTCAAGTATATTTCCATGCCAGAAAAATAATGATTGCATAAACAATTTCAAGCTTATCTGATTAATTGCGGTATGTGTTCTAATATGTTGTTGCTATACTGTATGGCATTTTCAAGTGGAGTCTATGAGAGGTGAGTAATAGCATGCAGGCAATGACGTGGCATTTTGAACCAGACTAACAAGCAAAATGTTGAAAAGTTTCCAAACTATTTTTTGTTTATTTGAAGTGAGACTATGTCTTTGAATGGAAGATGGAAGAGACATCTGATTCAGACCTCAATACACCTCATACATTGTTTGTCTTAATTAATTTGTGTGGATATGCTATTCAGTGAAATTATATTTGTCAAAACATTTTGTACAACACCAGACATGGTTTTCCATGACAGTGGCTGCCACAACTGTCGAATTTACTAGAATATTACCAACAACATTATTCCATATTCATACATAATATTAAACAAACTGAAAATGTGTTCTGTTATTTGACACGAGAGTACTCAAATACCCTTAGCTAGCACCTTATGATAGAGCAAAGCAATGAAAAACAAACTGTCCTAAACTGTCCATGCTTGGTGTTTGTTTACTATTAGAGGCCTTTTTATCTGCTCCAGGTCAGGCACTCAATTCTTTATTTCACTCATATCACCTATAGTTAGCTTAATGTGTTGATGTAAATTTCCCTAATGTGAACAGTCCAATGAATATCATTTTTACAGAAAAAATCATACCGACCTTGACAGACAAAAAGCATGGCACTCAGGGTCTGAATCAAGCACAAAACAAACGCAGCGCTGAGTCTTCGCCCCCTCACGTTCAGCTGCTTGTCTACCAACATCACGTCTGATTCGCTGAGGTCCGGTGTAGCTCGACATTCCATAGGGCACTGTCCGTCTGAGAAAAGAGGCCAACTTTTTTAGTGATAATAAAAATGTGAAATAAATCACGTTCTTATGGACACAGGAAAAAAAGATATATTCTACTAGCCTTCAGGCCAGCAGTCATATACTCATTTTTCATACCATAGAGGTATCTGACTAGATCACATGTTTTACATTTCAGTGGAAAGCATGCACATGCAGAGGAAGCAATACATACTTCACAATCTGTGCACATTACATTAGCTTACAATACGATGACTGTAAAGTTGCCCCTTCAACGTCATATGAATGATCTGTGGTAAGGCTTGTATAGAAACAGTCGATTTTTCACTCTATCTGCCTCGTGTTTTTCCCGCTGATGAAATGTTTCGTGAATTGGTAATGGAAAAACAAAGGCAGCCAGAAAGGTCAGCAAAGGTGAATATGGTCTACTTGACTGTGGACCCTAATCCTTACATTTGGATAACACTGATTCTTCTCTTCGTTTTCTCATTCTTTCCACTCACTCTGTTTTTAAATATCCGTGGATGTGTTTAGGAACTATAAAGTCTTAATGAGCAAAGAGGACGGGGGTCTTTGTTCTAAAATCAATTTGAGCGTCCCAGCAGAAATTTGTTCACAGCTGTGAGGAAGGCCTGCCATCTATCACTATCCATTTAGTCTGTTTTCATAAGACATTTGAAATAAAAGATCCATGGACTGTACATATGTAAATAGCTTTCCCCAGTAGATTTGTCAGATTTTGTCAGACTGCCTGCTGCCTAGCTAATTAGATACCTGTAGGGAGAAGCAGCAGTACACACATTGACACTGAAAAGCTAACTGTAACCAGTCTTGTGAGCCAATAACAGAGTAGCTTGCTGTCGTATAGGAGGGAGGTTGTTCTTTTATTTACTTTCCATATAGTGAGATTTTAAGAAACTTTAGCTCGAAAACATGGTTTGCTATCTTCCAGCATAGTGCAGTGCTCCCCGCAAGGTGAGCACACCTATTTGAAAACACACTTACAGCTTTTATATTGATGCCTGCTGTCAATATCTCACTCAGTCTTTAAAATATGTCAATATGTCCCAACATGCTAAGCAGTAATAAATTGTGTTGTTTACCTGAAACAGCCCACAGCAATCTTGGCACAAGAAGACAGAGGAAGAAAGAATGCTTTCCCACTGCCTTGCCAAGGATTTTAATATGCGGTTTGGAGGTCACAAAACAAAGCACCACTCCTGAAAACAAGGTGTTGAAATTTATATTTTGAGGTATTGCTACTAATATGCGGTATGCTAGGCCACATGTTGAACACACTTTTTGTAAGCACAAACTGTGAAAACTGCTACTAACTGTAATTATGCCAACTGGAAATATTCACTTTTCATGGTTCCTCATCACCTGCAGAGCAAGCATAACTCCTGAGGTGCGCACATCTGGCCAGCACAGGTCCCTGATTGTAACATGATTGTGTTGGTGGTCCCAGGACCAATTCACCAAATTACCTCGCCATTATCAGTAATAATACCTTCATTATGTTCTCTTTCTCAGTGTGTGACAGCATAAGATGTTTATGCCACAAGCCATTTCTGCCTCTAACTAACGGAAAAGTTAATTAATATGAAGTGTGAGTAGTTTTAAGTATCTTTTAATGTTTAAGAGCTGACAATTTGACACCACAATACCACAGTAACATCTTGGTACAATTTTGGGAACCAGAAAAACTCTTTTTGAACAAATCCGGCTCTAGTGAATAACGACTAGATCGTTTGAATTTGGTCAAGTCCATCATGTAGAAAATGAAGAATTGGTATATTCCTCACCAGCCCCTGTAAACCATTAGCTTTGCATGACAGATTTCTCTCTGATCTCTGTCCATTCAGCCTCACAAACACCACCCTGCATATTTATAGTGTGCTATTTCAACTGCTCAGATCCTTGAGACTTTGTTTGCTCATGACAGGGGATTTATAAGCCTACAGTAGCTTTATTTATCATCACATATTCACAGGTCAATCCCATGATTAATGAGGTTTTTATTTTATTTTTTGATGTTAGCATGCATTCAGAATGTATTGCATCATGGATATTGGTTCTCTGGTGCCTTTGACGCACTCATGACATGCATGCCAATACCTGCAACCTAACCCTTTTGAACATGGTGCAGGAACCATTTTAATGAAGACATCAAGCTGTCACTCATAGGCCTACATAATTCCTGCTGTTTGATTCAATTTTGCCAGGGACACCAATTTTATTCTTCTTATGCACTATGCTTCATACTAGAATCGTTTTTAACTGAAACTTTAAAATATTGCAACATGGACATTCACCACCATTAAAATAGTAATTAGCTCGATGATTGGAAAATAATAACATTAGGCTACTAATTAGAGCTCACGTGTTGACCACTGAAAGGGTGAAAGGTGAGAACAGAGTAGCTTTACTGAAGAAGCACGTTCACTTTTGCAAATACCTCCAACTGTGTGTGATGTGAAACGCTGACCTTGCGGGGCGAGTTAGTTTCTCATGGGCTTGCCATCACTTGAACCATGACTGCGTCTGGCGCCTCAGGGCAGCGGGCGTGACTTGCCTTTGTATTGTGTTGCAGTGCACGACTACAATTTGAGTTGCACAACCTAGCTACATGCCAATCTACCTTTAAAATAATCTTAATTGACACTCTGTGTCCCAACTGACAAAACATACATTTGTTATTGTGTAAGTCCGGGGACGCTTGCATTACAATAACACGTCCGGGTGGTTTATTGGAAAGCCTCGTTTAAAAGCATTTAACTTAGCTCACTCGGGAGTGTTGATCCAGATGATATCCAAGTGGCAGTAGTAGACGCACTCTTTATCCTTGTAGGAATAACAAGTGCAGCGCTTGGGTCTGGACTTAGCCTCCGCTGCCTCAGACAGCTGTAAACCCCTGGATTCCCCGGAGCCAGACACCCTGCTGGAGCGTGGGAGACCTCCGGGGTTCACGTCGGATATGACCAAGGCATCGGACGTCAAGACACCTCGTATTGTACAAGAAAGGTGTTGTAATTAAGTTTAGTAAACTAGTACTTACCAAATAACCAACTGTGTAAATAGCCTAAATGAATAGGCTACGTGAATAAAGGTTGAAATGTGTTGAAAAAGTTTGTGGCAGCTTGCCGACATCAAATCCTCTAAGCCTACCTTGTAAGAGAATCAATGCCAGTATGTTGAAAAGCATGGTTTTCGCGAGGATGGATGGTATCCTAGCCATGTCAGATGTTCCCAAAATGAATCATAGCCTGATGAGGATGCAGCGCACTTGTCAAATTAATCTCCCACCAGCATCGAGTGAAAATCCATCAGCGTAGTTCTCCATGAGCAGCTCATCTCATATGGTCCAGGCGTCATATAACCAATCAGAGGATGTTTGTCGCACAGTTCCTTTCATATTTACAACTTCCTACCTGTAACTGAAGTGAAAGGAAACCTACCTTAATACAAATAGCGCCCGCAGTCACACAGCAAAGTGTGCTTTGGAAAAGGTGATCTTTGGAGCAAAGACGATGATGATGCTCCTCAACGTCACTTTGCCTTCTGAAATCCCAAATCTAAGATAAAGGGCTTTGGAGAGGCTTGGGTACACGCCCACACCCCTTCTGTTAAATGCAGCAGCGTGTTCACTGAGGTGAACTTACTCCACTTGTGTTTCTGTTGATGCATGACTTGTAAAATAGGATACTGTCTTGTTCAAATATAGCCTAATAAAACAGATTTTTCAGCAACACTTGGCAGCATGGGCCCTCCATTACTCTCTCAAATAGGCCTACTGCACATAAAGTCAAGGTATAATGAGGGAATTCCCCTTTTTTGTTGTTGTAATTTACTTGAGCTACAAAACAGAGCCACTAAATTACAGACACACAAAACACACCTTGCAATATACCATCTGGACACTCCAGTGTGGAAAAGGGGTCAAGCAAATACCTATAATCTTAACTACACATTTATACACCCCTTTGTTATATACAATTAGAGCCAGTCTGGAAATGATCTGCATAGGCCTATGCCTGCCATATGGTGATGATGAAGCGCTACTTCTCAAGTTCAGTGACAAAGACTGATGGGAGATGCCCACTTCAGTATGACCCTCAGGAAAATGAGAACATTTGAACGCTGGCATAATTTCTGAGGGTCATTTCATGTAACAGTTTCAATGCCCAGAGGACCGATCTGTTATTACTCTTGGGCAGGAGAGTTACTGTTTTGAAGTTTATAATCCTGATGTAGGCAAACCCACCTCGAGGCCATCTACTCACGAGGCTAGGTCAAGTGTGAGAATTTGTCTCATGTCAGTCTTTTAGTTCATCACGGTCAGACACATTTCTAAGCAGCTACAGTTCATGATTTTAGTCAGAATGTTTCAGTAATTTCAGTAATTGTGCTCATTGTTTACATTACTGGCATAATATGCAGCATATTTCTTTACAACAATTAGTTGAAATGCCATGTTTGTTTAATACTGTTTTCTCTAAGGATGGTGGACCCGTTTTGATAGTAAATGGCTGTTGACTTTTGTCTAAAATTGGTTTCTCAGTGACAAATGACTACACTTAGTAGTCTGCATTGTGATGCATTTTGGCTGGGGGGCAGACAGGGGTACAGACTCAGGCCAGTGTATATTCTCCCCCCCAACCCCCCATACACCAGATGTAAATGGTGTGTCATCATCATTAAATAATGAACAAATGAGTTAGCAAAGGGTCTGAAGTTGATTAATCCTGGGTGTTTTGCATTTAAATTATGGTGTTGTCTCTCAACATGAGGACTAAAGAAGTGTGAAGGCTAATAAAGCAATGAGAGGCAAAAAAAATTAATCAATCAGCAAAAATGTTATAAAGTGGTTAAAAAGTAAGAAAGTGCTAGTGAGCTCAGCAGTTGCATATAGGTATAACCTACCATCTGTCCCACAGATAAAGAACACTCCAGGATGAATGTTGGCCACTCATAATCACCACCTCATCCCTCACGTGTCAGGAGGATTGGGAGGAGGCCATGTAGGAAGGTGATGAACCTGAACATACAAACCAAAACAACAACAACTCAATTCAGTTGATCTGCTCTGTTAATCCAACCATCGTGGGAAGTGAGTGTGTATAAGTCTGTATCTGAAGCACTGAGTTCATGAAGACAAATCACTCAATGGTTACATGATGTAATCGTCGAAGTTAAATGGAAGCACCTTAGGGAATGTGAGAGAGATGAGTGTTCATAGGAAAACTGAAAAAAAGGGACCAGCAGGAGATTTTATGAGGGTGTACCTCCTGGGGCGATTATTACGATCAAACACCAGACTGCCACAAAAGACTGAAACAGAGGAAACGTGTTTAGACTTTCCGTAATATTATTGTCTGACTTGTTTCTCCATCACTTGTTGAACAAATTCTCCAAGGAAGAACCAATAGATGTAGGATGTAAATCCACTTAAATGTAGCTGATTAAATAAAAGTCTTTCCTGTTGAGCTTAAGGTATACACACTTACAGACAAAGAGAAGTGGGGATATTTAGAGAACACAAACACACTCACATAAAAGAAATACATACCTTCATGGGAAGACTGTGGCTTTTGTTAAGATGCTTTGGCATGATGATGCAAAAGGCCCCCATACTGTTGACTGTACCTTCTCAGTCTCAGGGTTATATACAGTAGGTGTCCTGGATTTGTTCTTTGCTACAGAGACATCCAGTAAATCAAGATCTGTCTGACTCATGCCTGCCCTCTGGTTCCTTCCCAAATTCCCTACGGCTAGGGTTTTGTGCCATACCCCAATTCTCTGGCACATTCCCTAAGCTGGGAAACAGAGAGAATTCCTGATAAATGAAGACCACATTGTGTTTTTTCTCCTGACCAGAGATGTGGAAGCGGAATACTATCAGAAAGTTGTCTGTGTGTGGTTTAGCAATCACATGATGCAAGAATGCTTTCAAGGTATCATTTTGTTCTTGTTTTTTTCTGTGAAGGACGTCTTATAACCTGGTCTAATTAATCTGATGTTGCAGTGTTAGTTTATATGATCATGGATGGTTATTTACACCAAATAGGCAGTCAAAAATATAAATGTACTGAATCTACTTGGATACATTGTTTTGCCATAGCTGATCAAGGCAATATAAATGGATTGAGGTGTGAAACCTCATAGTAGGCCTCATTTAATTAAATCTCTCTAACTTTCTCATTGCATTATGCAACACATTTTACAACTTGAATTGTTAAACTTGTGTTCATTAGCAATGCCATTATAAAGATCCATCCTGGAACTACTAAGTTTTCCGAACAGGACATTTCTGGTATCCCAAATTGCTGTTATAATTCTACCTTTTTACCTCTGTTTTTCTCCCTGCTTTACCTCAAGGAGTCAGCCATATGGTTTTACATCATAACATATGTACTGTGGGTTCACTTTCTGCCAACCGTGCTTGTTTAGTGTTGATTATCGCTGCCCTTGATTTAGTCAACAGAGGGAAACTCATTGCAGTGGGTTCAAGGCTTAACTGGGAGACATACGGGAATGTAATACAATTCAGCAGGATTCAAACTGCCATTTTGTCCTGTTTTTCTTGGCCTCCTCTCATGTTTTATTAGAAAACATTTTGGGTGTGAAAAGCCTGGGGTGCTGTGGAGCTACTGAGGTAGGGACTGGAGAAACAATAAACAGGTGGCATTAAGATCTCAGAGGCTGCAGACATGTAAGCCTGTTGAAATGAATATGAGGAACTGTTATGTAAAATGGTTCAACACATCTTATAAGGTTAAGAAAATCAAACACAGAAAGCAAGAGGATTTCAACTGTGATGTAGAGACACTGACACATGAAAACTTTTTTCAATATGGACAAAAGCCAAACTATCTGCTCTTTATTCTTGTCTTCCAGGTTTATTACTCTCTATATCAGTGGGACAGATCTAGTTAGAATAAATCAGAAGATACCTTCGCACAGAAGCCTGCCATGACAGTTTGTCAGCATGTCACCATTTACATTCTAAACCCTAACAGCAATAGCGCAGTTTTAAGTTCCGTATGTAGAGCAATGATATGCAGCACAGAGATGATCAGTTGTGTCACAAAGGCAGGTTTCACCTCAAACTGTGTCACTTCCTTACACATTACAGTGTATAGATAACTCAGTCTTATTGGCCCTTTTATCCTGTCATGCTTCAAAGTTCACACGTGCTTGTCTTTTCTTCCTTGAGTATATATACACCACTGGTGTTTCCTCTGCATGTGGAGAAGGGCTTGAACAGCGTACTAAGACTCAGCAGAAAGATCTATGGCTGAGCTGGACTTTCCAAACAGAACTTCATGCCAAGGTGAGGGCTATTGCACTAAAGACAGCAAGATGCCTCCCTTATGAGTAACAGCTGATGCCCCTGGATCCCACTGATTTCCTGGTTTGTGGTTGCTGTAGAGGATCATTTAGTTTACCATGACTGATGACTATCACCCACTAAAAATTGTTTGAGCTGTGGGATATTTTACAGTGAGTGATGGTACTGAGATTTATGTAAAATATACACTGTGGTAAAACTAGCATTGCAAAACTAAGCCAGTAAAGTAGGGCCTTTCACAGAAATATTTTAAATAAGAGTCTAAATTGGACTATACAATTGGAATTTAACTTCAAATCCATACAAAACATGGGCTACATGCTTGAAAGGGACAAACCCATGGGTTGATCCTCAAAAACAATTTTCATTCCAAGATGTTTTTTTTCATCTTGCATAAGGACAAAAACATGAGTGGTTAGCCAAAATTATAAGCATAATGTGTATAGCAAACAAATTGATAAATATTCTCTGGAGGGATGACTGCCAAACCAAAAATTGTTGCACAGACACAAGTATAGGAAATCTGCCTCGAAATAAAAGCTTGCTGAGAGGTTGACCCCTGATTGGCACCTATATTTTAACCGATTATTAAGGCTTAAGAAATAGAGTTTTGGACTAAACTTTTAACAATGTGGTAGTGATGTTAATGGAAACTCTTGGCAAAGGACTAACTTTGATTTTGGAAGAGACAATTTATGTAAGGGTAATGCAGACTATATTGCATTTGAAAACAAGGGTGTTGAATGAAAGTTTCCTCCTGAAACTCACAAATATCTGAATCTTTGAGCAGCTGAGGGGATGGAAATATTTATTGATACTTTTTTGGAGACTAACTGACACACGCATGCATATCTCCTCTGCAGCAAACATGACAAAAGGAGAGACGCCAGAATGTGGTTTTCTTGTCTGAGGCTCCCACAAGCAAATTGCGTTGATGAAGTTCAAAAGATAACTGATGCCATCTTATAGCCAGCTCTTTTGGATATGATATGATATCAGCACTGCCACATTTCACCGGATTTTCATGTCTGTTTTTAAAAAAATCTTTTTCTGATGTTTGACCAACATTTCTATGTGACACTTCTTCTAAATTTACATTATGTTTTGTTGTAACAACTGTAATTTCCATAAAATGACTGACAAACAAAGCATATGACTCTATCACTTATCTGCATGGAAGTGAGGTTTTGAGACTGGGATTTGGCTCAGCTGGTGAAAAGATTGTATTACACACTGCTGAGAGGCCTGCTCAATGTCTACTACTGTGGAGTTAGCTAGCCAAACCAAACATCCACATTCAATTTAAAGCCCTCTCAATTATAGACTTTTCTGATTATTTATGTCAGAGTTTAAAGT